CTTTGAAATGTAAGTGATGAGAATAAAGTGAATATTTCAGAATGTTTTTAGGGTCATATTCTTTAATGTAAGTGATATTTTAGATTATTCCTTCTTTTTGACGTTTGAATTTAATGGAAAAATTATAACTTCTGCATGCTAGAAATCTACGTTTGTCGTGTGAATACTAGATTTTATTGTCACTTCCAGACTCCTGTACACTAAAGTATTGTTTATTTTTCCATTCTCAGGCGTTTCTTCTACTATGTTGAAGGTCTGATATGCTAGCATTTGGAGAAATATATTTGGCATGAGAACTCGTTTAAGTTGATGGGATGTTTACTATTGATTTCATGAAACAGGAATCTATGACTGAAATGGAATATCATTATGGTGAAAAGCACTATTTTAAGAGTTTAGCAATCTTTAATGTTCCCATTCAAATGTATACTTGTTTTTATTGATTATTTTATGTGTAAAAAGTACTTTAATTCTGAATAGGTATGTTAAACTGTGAAGAACCTACTAGGAGAGAAATGGCTATTAGGTCCTTGGAAGTCCTTTGCTTAGCAAAAGATCACTACTGGAAGTGCATTTTGGATGCAGGTAATACAGTACATCAAATATACTTGATATTTTACTTGAACATTATCATGTGGTAAGGCATAAAATTAATTACACTGCAATCTGGTTCTAACTACTGCAGAAAAAGATTTCATAAACTTTCAAGGCCTTTCTCAGTGGTTTTCTTCATTATATTCTATAGTTGTGCATATACTATAGTAAAATCATAGCTTCCAAATTTATTGCCAGGAGAAGTTGAACATTTTTAATAAAAATATTCAGATTTCTGAATAAGTTTTACATTATATTTGTATTTCAATAGTTGTTACATTTTCGAAGTAAGACATTTTCTGTGTATCTGTTTTATTAATCTGATATTCTGAATGTCAGTTGGAAGTAAAGACTATTTTGGCTTTTTTTTTTTGTCATGATGACAGAGTAAGTGATGTGCCCTTGTCTTTGCAGGCACTATATCCCCTATAATCAGTTTGTTAAAGAGCCAGAACAGCAAGCTTGCATGCATAGCTGCCGGAGTTCTGAGCAACATTTCGACTCACGATGCCATTTCCAGAGCCTTCGCAGAGGCTGGGGGCATTTCTGTGCTGGTTGATCTGTTGGGCTATGAGGAACCTGAACTGCAGTCTCGCTGTGCTGTTGTCCTATACGATATTGCTCATTTGGACAATTATCAAAATGTCATTGCTAAGCTGGTAAGCCTGAATCCAGAACTGTTAATTAAGCTTACCTGATAAAGCTACTGCTTCTACGAGTGGTTTCATATAACAGACATACTCCCTTTTTTTCCACTTCAGGGTGGAATTCGGTCTTTGGTAAATCTTTTGGAAAGTAAAACTGATGATTTGTTGGTAAATGTAATGAATTGTATCCGAGTGTTGTGCATTCAAAACAAAAGTAATCAAGAGGAAGTAAAGGAGCATGAGGGTATTCCGTTACTTATTCAGTTTCTAACTGCACATTCAGGTAAAAATCCAGCTACATGTATTCTCTTTTTTATTGTGCGTGTCATATTCTTGTCGTAAAGCTTTGAAAAGCACATGGCTCCTTTTCATGGAATCAAGAAAGCCCCTAAACTTAAAAGAAATTAGTTCAGTTCTTAATTGAACATGGAACTTTCTTTTAATTCATATCAGACTAGTTTAAACAGCATGCCTGTATACAAGGCTTTAATGTCAGGTAGGTCAGCAGTGTTTTCCTAATATTGGTTTTTGATGATAGTCTAACACTACAAGCATCAGACATACATAGATAACAGATATATGTGAACGATGTTTTAAGAGCAAAAATTCAATGTACACATAAAAGTATCATCTTTAAACCCAATAGATCTTGATCAAAAACACTTTCATCTTGCATGAAATCAAGATAAAATCACCACTTAAAACAAAAACACTTATAACTGCAATGAAATTCATTATAGCACAAGAACACAGATATTGTAAAATGTTAGGGTTTTTGATAGTCCTCAGTGATGACATTTGAATTTGAAAGGCATTCAGAATCCATAAGGATCAGACACAGTGAGCAAGAAGCAGGGCAAAATGACTAAATACTTTGTTGATTTTTATCTGTATTAGTTCATTTAAAGCTTTCAGTGCTAACAGCTGTTTGAATCAGAATCTGTTAACTTTAAATAAACTGGATCTTACCTCTTAACTGATAAATACTTTGTGCATTTAAAGCTATACTACAGGCTGTATCGTCTGCAGCTATTGCAGAACTTGCTCGAGGGAATAAAAAAATGCAGGATGCCATTGCAGATGCAGAGGCAATTGATCCTCTAGTTGAACTTCTAAGAAAAAGGATTATCAATGTACAAATGGAAGGTGCTCTGGCTGTAGAGGCACTATGTGAAAACAACATTCATGTGCAGAGGGCGTTCCTGGAGAAATCAGTAACAAAGGATCTGCTGAAGCTCTTAAAGGCAAGAATTTATCTTGTTTTTATGGTTTGTCATGTTATTGTTACTGTTTGACATCAATTTGTTTAAGAGAAGAATATAGAAAATGTAGTTGCCTTGAAGTTTTGGGGAACTTTTAATTTCACAGAATAGATAGTTGGACCTTTTAATGTGCACTCCTAAAATACTGCTATTGTTATTATTATACAGGCATTTCATGTGAAAGTGAAGGAACAGGGTGCAACAGCTTTGTGGGCACTGGCAGGAAAAAAAATGAAGCAACAGAAGTTCATGGCAGAACAGATTGGGTATAACTTAATTACTGACATGCTTTTGTCACCATCTGATAAAATGCAGCATGTTGGTGAGTTTTTTTTGGGGGGGGCAAGTTTATAAAAACACTGGACAGATTATTAAAAAGAACTTAAAAATTGTCAAACTTTTTTGTTGAAAGGAGGTGAAGCAGTTGTTGCCCTTTGCGAAGACAGCAGACATCATCAAAATCAAATATGTAAAGGGAATGGAATCAGCCCGTTAGTTTGGCTGTTGAGAAATGCAAAAATAGCAGAGGGAACACTGCTGAATGTCATCAGAGCCCTGGGGACCATATGCATCGGTTTGTAGAATCTATGGAATTTGTTTGTGAAAGATTCTGAACAGAAAAAGGGATGAAGTAAAAGCAGTATCAGTTAACAGATTGCTAGTGCAACCATTGTGAGGCACTGAATATAAGATGCCACAGATGACATTCTCATCTCATCAACTTGTGATAAATTCTGGAACCCATGCAACTGTATATTTAAAGGCATTAGTTTTAATTAAATTTAATTAGTTGAGCTTTTTTGTAATCTGGGCTTCAAAATTCTTCAAGGGCACTCTGGGCAGTGATAAAGAAGGTAGTTCAGGTATTTTTAGATAGCTTGCTGGTACTATATGCATATGTGTATGTCTCATGTATATATGTGTGGTTTATATATCACTTGTAAACATGTGCACAATATGTCAATATGTGCACAATAACGTATGCATACTAATATATACTGTAGTGTACATACACCTACATATAAATTTGACTATCCTTGCTTCCATTTCCCTCCCACACATGCACAAATTCCTTGTGTAAAAGAGCAATATTTTGTTATGTGAACTCTTACAGGTGTAGCTCTTACAAACAACCCTGTCAGCCAGAAAAGTGTGTTGGAGGAACAGGCCTTGCCAACCCTGGTTCATCTGCTCAAACATCACGGTTCACTTCAGATAAAGGTGTGGAGCAAGAAACCTCATGGCCATGTGCATGTGGGTTCCTGTGTGTGTTTGTGACTCTCTTGCCTGGCAGAGTGACAACAGGGGCACGTCTTGTCTTTCGTGCAGCGTATTCAGAAGTGAAACAAAAAGTAAAAATGTAAAACACATCAAATCAGCTACCTGTAAAGCCATTTTATAGTCAGTCTTTTGAATGTGGTAACGTACAGAAGCATGGTCTTGTGTGGGTGGGTCTGTGATGGATGTCTTTGAGAGGTGAAAAAGTATAATTTAATCCTATTGCATAGATAAGACTTATTACATCAAAGAACAAAAACCAGTTCAGCATTCGTCTCTACAGAATAACGAGGGCAATATTGCATTTAACTTTGGATGCATACACACTCTGGTAATAGAAAAGGCAAACTTTTTGTTCTCTGTAAAGTGTCTTTAATTATTTTATTGTGTAAAGTAACTGCCTTTTTCATAATGTTTAGGCTGAAGTCGCATATTCCTTGGCTTGTATTGTTTTAAAAAACAGAAAGCTACAGGAGGTATTACAAGAAGAAGGTTTCATTTATTCTGATGTTCTTGAACTTCTTCAAGTACCAGATAAGGTATTTCTTTTCTATAACATAACAGTATCAATTTAGGAGCAAGAATTTTCCTTTCACAATGTCACAGCAAGTTTAACTATACAATAACTCCTTGTATTTTGTACATGATTTTTTTTCTCAGGTTAGCCACGATCAATAGTGTCCCAACTTTAACCAGGCCCCTCTTTTTCAACAACAGTTTTTTTTTCCTTATTTTTCTTTCTTTTTTTTTTCTCTTGCCCCTTTTCCCTATCACAACAAAAGAAGTTTTAGTGGGTGTTATCAAAGCCTTCCTTGGAGGTAAAATTAAAATATCCTTTGGCATGATTAATTGTTTTTCTTATAAATACTTTAGATTTTAGTTTTAGGTTTACTTGTTTTACTACTCAACTTTGCTGTATCTCAAATAAGTCTTTTGTTTTTTTTTAACTTTAAGTAATAAAGGTTCTTTGATGTGAAGTGTTCATATTTATTTTCTTTTTCAATCTCTGAAGTCTTTGGTCCTCAATATGTTTAGGGATGTAAATCCCTAAAAATAAGGTAAATGGTGTGGCAAGAAGAGATCTGTGTTTGATAGCCTAGAGTGCAGGGATAGTAACTATCCTAGCATAAATAGCATAAATAAGGAGCCATAAAGAGTCTGGGAAGGGTTTTTGATGGAATGAAATACAAGTTTATATGGTGTACTGATATTTTGTTTATTTATTTAAAGGATATCCGTTTACGAGCAGCACATGCTTTAGCCCTTTTTGCATACAATAACTGTGTCCAACAACTCCGGATCCGGGAGAGTGGAACAATTACAATATCCATATTTGAGCCTTTTTTGCAGTCAGAAATTGAGACAGATAAAGCCCTGGCAGCTTTTCAGGTATGAGATCTGTTTTCTCAAAGCACAGACTTTAGATATTTGAAACTGGAAAAAAAAATCTGTATACTTTTTTTTTTTTTTAATATATATATATAGTTTATAAAGGCTTAGGTGTCTTTGTATAATCATATCTGATGGCATGGCAATATTTTAAATTTTTGGTTGTGAATGTATCACATTGTTTCTAATGATTAAATTTGGAGCAGCATGTATAAATATTTGTTCTAATAATAAAGAGAAGGATAAGGAAATAAGAGGCTTGCCTAAATCAAGTTGTGTTTTGATTTCAGATTGTTGTGTTAGCCAGAGTTATAGCAGATGCCGATCAGGTCACTTTGTCTGCTAGAGGTGTTACTACACTGGTGGAATTGCTGAGCTCTGAGGACACTGTGACACTTATTCTTACAGGTAGGAAATACAAATATGCTGGTCATCTATTCTAGAGCGGCAAAAATTAAGCATATGCATTTTTGAGAAAGGACTTTTTTTCCTCTAGCATAATGTAGTAAATGATATAATTGAACATGTGCAATGCTAAGTGCAAAGTTGGGAGACTATGACATACCCAAACTGCTTGCATAACTTTATTTTGTGTGTGGGTGTGTGTTTTTGTTTTTTAAGAACCCTTTCTCTGATGCAAAGCACCATTAACATCCCATACTGTAATGTAAAGTGGGACCAGCCTCTGTATAGCTGCTACTCCATCTACTGGAGAAATGAATTCTTCTTTAAAAGACTTTTAATGGGAGTAGGGGCAAGGGTTTCAGTAATAAAAAATAAAACTTACTAAGGATTTCAACAGCTTGGCAAAAGACTAGAGAGTTAAAAAAAATAAAAAAAGATAGCTATAGAATATGTGGGAGGTTTTTTGGATTTTGTTTTGTTTTGTTTTTTAATTTTCAAAGCAGATTCCTTGGAGAAATATATTTTCACTAAAAAGTCACTGAGGGTTTGAGTAGAAATACAGTGGTGAGTTTGTTGATATTGCAAGCAGTTAATAGTTTCTAAAGTTGTTTCAGAAGGAGTACTGATATCTGATGGAGGACACTGAATGTGCTTATCTTTATCTTTTAGAGAAGCCTATGAGCTCTAAACTCTGGGGCTGGGTTTTCAGCATTAAAATACTTTAAATACAACCAGAGCAAGAGTTACAGAGGATGCAACCTCTCTGGGTAGCACTGTTCTTGGGAGACACAGTTGTGTATGTCTCTTTCCTAGGGAAGTTACTGGCCAGCTTGGCTCATACGAGGGCAGGAATTCCAGAAGCCATCACTACATTAGGAACTATCCAGCGCCTGTGTTATCACCTGTACTCAGATGACGAAGAGGTAAAATGCTAGAAAAGTAACATCTGTGTTGTGAATTTCTGTTTATTTTTGCTTTGTGTTGAATTCAACTCATACAGCTGGCTGACAGTACAGTTCATGGCAAGAGGATTTTTCAGGGGGAAAAAATAATGAAATGGGATAATTATATGGCATTCAATGATTTACTATTTCAGAAGAGTCTTTCAGCTAAGCGTTTTAGCCATTGGATGAGCCGTGAACACGGGCCTGTTGACTTGAAAGCAGCGCTTCTGAGTCACAGTGATTCTGAATGTTAAAGATTCCCCACTTTTGAATTTAGCTAATATAGAAGGCCTAGTGTCTTTTTCACTTTCCTTGAATTCTGTAGACTGCAGATCATGCTTTCTGAACGCTCGATGGATTTTAAGTCCATCAACACTTTGTGCATCTTTTCCTGAATTTTTGCTTAGTCTGCAATTCAGTATTCAAAAGTTGCTCATTACCTTTGTTAAACTTAGGCAGATGTAGTTCACGTTGAAAAAACTCATTTGCCATCACATATGTATAAAAAAATTTAAATCCTCTACTTTTTCCCATCTATGATTATTCACTATTTTCAGCTACAAGTGAATACAGGAGCTTCCCTCTTTCAGTGAAGTAAACTGCAAATCTCCCATTACTTGGCCCAAAGTAGAACAGCTATTCATTTGTAGAACCAAATTTATTTTCATTGAACAGGGAAGCATTTTACTTTTTCATTCACACTCTTGTTTTTCTGACCTGTATTTTGAAATTCTGATGGGTGACAAGAGAGCTGCTGATAACGCACCTGCTTTATCTTGATAAAAGAGTCTACTTCCGAAGAAAAACCTCCTTTGACCTAAGGGTGAGACCTGTTTCCTTCTTCCAGGTCTGCATAGCCTCTGCCAATGCACTGGGCTACTTAACGTTCAACCCGACCGCGTACCGCCACCTCCTCGGGGAGTGCAGGAACAAGCCCCAGCAGTTCGGCCGGCTGCTGGGGAACCTCAGCAGGGACGCGCGGATAAACCCGGATTTCGTCAACGAGTTCCGGCGAGAGAAACGCATGGGGCTGCCTTCCCTAAGGTGCTTTTCGCGCGTGTGTTTCACTAACGTTGAAAAAAATGTATTGTAAAAACCCTAAAGCATGAGGATAATTAAGATAAATTCCTCAAACATGTTGAAAATAGTTAATTTTACTATGAATTTTACTGTGACTTTTCTTGACGGTATACAGGGATTCTTTTTAATAAAACTTAAAGATTTTAAAGATGTGTGTACATATCAATTGTATCAATGGATTTTTTCAGAAATGCTGTGCTCCCCTTGTCTTTCACCAACTGTTGCAATTATCACCTGAACATCACATAAAATATGCAACTGCAAATTCTGAATAGTCTGATTCATTGTAAATGACCACACATTGACTTTTTTTAAAAAAACTCAAAAACAAAAAGGTAGGGTGCCTGCATCATTTGGTTTTGTGCATGTGAGTTGTTCAGACATAGTTATCAAAAATTCTTCTTTGCAAACTGAGTATTGAAAACACACAGCTTAAACACCAAGATTGAGAGAAATGCTTTACTCTTGTATTAATTCTCCCTTATCTTTTGAATTATGTATAGATCCTATATTGCTCTTACTGATGTCAATGAACTTAAGTCATTTGACTTCAGAAGCTCAGACAAGATTTTAGTATTTTGCAATACCAGAAATGTTCCTGGAATAAGATGCTGCTTAGCATCAGTAAATATTTAGGAACGAGTTCCTCTTTGGATGTCATGGCAAGGAGCTAAGGTCAGTGGTTAGGCAAGCAAGGGCTGCACTGGTTAGCCGTGGAACCTGCCCCCAAATGCCCCAAATATTCTTAGGAGTTATGTAGGCAAAAACTTACTTTACAACGAAATGGGCAAGTTTACCTTTTTAAACTACAAAAAAAAATGAGTAGGTTTCCTAATAAAAAAAAAGTGTACAAAAAAAACAGAAATAATAAAAAGGCTGAAGGACTCCCATTCACTATTACAAGAACGTGTTGAATAGTTTAAGCCATTGATTTTCATGATGTCACTCTTCCATTTGCAGTTTGATGATAAACGGAGGACCGCCCGCAGTTCCAACTTACTCTAAAGGTAGGATATTTCTCACCTCGTTTGGAGGAGGGCAAGCACTTTATTGGTGCATGCCCCAAAGTGTGGCTCTGCAAAACAGCTTCAGGTGATCAGTTTGTATTTTCTATAGTCATGAGAAATGTATTAATCATAAACTATTAACATTCTTATTTGTCCCTACACAGCAAACCAGTTTGTACTAAATGCAGTTTCCTTCTGGAGAAACAAGGTGGCAAAATTTGAGCACTGTATTAAAAAAAGCCATTTTGCTAATTTTGCTCAACACTGAAGATGGATAAATGCAAAAAGGTCACACTGTAGCTGTAAAATACTTTATTTGGGTCATATGTAACTTTAACTTGAGGCCTTTCGTTCAGAAGAAAGCTGTAGCTTATGCTGTTCAGAACATAGTTGCAATATATCACATATAAATGCTAACAAAATAATTTACTGTTTCAGAGAAGGCGTGGAGTCGCAGAGGAAGACATCCCTGGACTAAATGTCAACCCAAGGACTCACTGCTTTTAGTATCTGCCCCTGCTCACCTAAGGGGAAAATTCAGAAGAGCAAATATGTTCCAAGGACAAACTCCCAGAGTATATTCATTTACGTATGAAGTTTCGTCAGACATCACAAAAGTTTCAAGACCAAGAATCGTTAATGTCAGTAAGATTTCAGCCATTGCACCGGGAGAGAAGCTTTAAGTCCTGTGTCAGTGTTGGAGTTGAAAAGCACTTAATGTAACTATGCCATGTTCTGTTGCTTCGTATTTGCAAAGTTCAGTGTGTCAATCATTTCACAAAAATGCCTTCTGAAATCTCATTCTTGAGACTGTGTTAGATGGAGGAAGACTGTCTGTGAATACTTTAAAAACAGCTACGATGCTAAAGAATAAATGTATTGAAAGTTTAAAAATTCTAAGCTTGCCAGAGGCATCTTAGAATATAAAGAGAATTTAAGCTTCTCTTTCTAACAAAGCAGTGCTTTATCCTAAGAGAGGTTTCTGAAGTTTTTATGTGGAGGAATTGGAAAATTACCTGTGAGCATCTGAATCTATTTTACAGAGAATATGTCAACATTTATAGCCATCTTAGAGCACTGAAGCTATATTTAAGATCCTATGAAATTATACAAAAAAGTCTCCTAAAACACTATGTGACAAACTGAATACAGAGAGTGTATTCTTCAAATACCACTTTCTGTCTGAAGAGAGATCTTCTTCATTTTCCAGAAGTACTGGAAAAATAAGGCACATAATTTGTGTTAAATCTTGGATTCAAGTTGAAAAGGAAGAAAAAACAAATCCAGTCCAAACAGCGCCACCTTTACCACAAGAGGTAAACTGGCTCTAACTCTCTTGGGTATCCCAATTATTTGGGTTGTAGTTAAGCAGGTAACTTTAAACACAAGCATTATGTGTTAAAAAATTCTGTTAACTGTCATCTGGAAGTACGAGTGCTTAAGAGATAATCCAGTAAACATCAGTGTAATAAACAACATAAAAAATAATCTACCACTGCTTGTCAAGATGCAAGGTAAAAGTAACCCATTAATCGCATAAAACCCATAAATCTAAAATCATTAGAAAATGCATTTTTGATTTTGCTTTGATACCATTTGTGAAACAGTAATTTGAAACATTTTGGTGGTACTTCAGAGCATTTATTTTTATGGTATGTGATTTTCAACAACTTCAAGCCAAATATTGATAGTAAATATAACAGCACTCGAACAGTTCTTACTGAGGAATTTGTATTTGGGTTTTATTCAGTTACTACTCAATCTGATGCCAACCATCAAATCTTCAGTTTTAGTCTTGGCACCTTGATTGAATCTTCTTCAACTCTTTTTGAGATATCAATGCCCAGTGGAGCACTAGAAAATAATAATAGTTGTTACATATTTTTCGTAAGTGTCATTTTTACTGCATGTAGAGGACAGCTCAGGCAACAGCAATGTGATCTCAAAGTTCTTTTTGGTCACTTTATTTAAATTTCAGTATTAGTGGATAAGTCATATTCTATTTCATTGATAAAGACACGCTAGAGGCTTATAAGTATGTTCTCTGTGATAATTCTAAAGGAGATAGGGTCTACAGCAAAGAACTTCATATTGATTTGGTTTAGTAGTACTTATCAGGCTCTACTGGCCTTCTTGGTCTCCACTTCCTTCCATTTTCACTAACTACAGTGAGTAAGTGAAGAGTTGGGTTGTAAGCAAATGTGTAGTTACTTACGTTGCTTCATAGCGGATGCCATCAGTACAGTTTAAAACACCAAGTTCTGCACGTAACCTTTCAATGCCATTCCTAAGCAAGAAAGCAACTGTATGAAAACACTCATCAAAAAATATCAGAATACAAGTATGGAGTTCAGATCAGCTGAATACATGTATGTGTATTGGGTATCAGTCACAAATTCTTCACTCTGATGCTAGAACACTATAGAAATATACACAAAGAAAAGCAGTCCTTACCACGCAATCATAACACCATTATCAGTGCACAGCCTCGGGGGAGGACACAGGAAAGCAAAACCGTTTGCATCTGCCACAATCTGCAGCCCTTTTCGGATATACTGATTACTTGCAACTCCTCCTGATACAACCTGACACCAGTTTTAAAAACAAAAAAGGCGTAATTCAAAAATAAACAAGTTAGGAGAGCTTTAGTACATTGGCGGGCCATATTCAATTACTATCTGATTAAGAAAGGCATCAAAGTTCTGTAGACAGCAACAGAGAGCACATTTAAAGATTATGGCATGTCAGAAAAGAGTATGAGAAGCGAGCATATTATGCTACAGGATTCCTGACTAAGAGTGGGCTATAAATAGAACACCTGTAAAGCACTGGGCAGCACTAGGTCAAATTATGTGGCCTGAGTTTTACTGAAGGTTTGACTGATTTCTAAGAAAATCTACTTCTACTGAAGACCAAATTATAAGGCTGCATTTTAAATAGTTATATGACCATTACTTTAATTTCATATTTTAACAATATAGAATAGCTTATTGGTATCTACCTAACCTGTTAATTCCTTACAAAAAATCTTTCTGCTTTTGTCTCAAGCGCTTTACATTGTGCTGTGTGCACTGAAACAAGTGGTGCTCTGGAAGGGGCTGTTCTGTGCAGGAAGGTGATGCTGCTAGTCCATTCTGCAATTTGCATAGCACAATAAATATCTTTAGGAAGTGGTCTGAAGTCCTTGAGAATGAAAAGTATATCCATAAGAATGCCACGTATCTAATCTACATGGTTGTATGCTTTAAATAATAAAATAATCGTAAAGTGATTTTAGTATTACCTTAACAACAAATCATTGCACATAAACACTAATGTACTACTGTTTAATTCAGTAACTATTTGGGCCCAATTAAATACCCTGTTTTTATTTATTTTTAAATAGCTCTGACAAGGCAGAAAGTACCAAGAGGCATCTACTCTTTCAAGTGATATTATGCAGTGAAATATAAAGCTGAATGTTCCCCTTACCTACACAAAAAGATGATGTATACCCACCAGAGTTGCATTTTTGGGTGATATTATGCTATGCTTTATGCAGAACAGCATGGCTCGATGCGTCCGCTTGACAATATGCACAGCCACTGCGTGCTGTGCAGCAGCAGCGATATCCTTAGCACAAGACAGCAGCTCTCCCTCCTGAACACCTGTAAAAACACAAGACCAGTGGCCTTTTCTGAGTACAGCTCATCAAGTCCATAGTTTCTATCTAATTTTGTTTTAAAATACCTTCTTCTTTTTCTTGTTGTATGATTACTTTGTTGACAAGATTCTGAAGTCCAGAAAAAGAAAAATCACAGTTACGGTAATGTTGCATGGGAACTCTGAACGTGTGACACCGCCAGTCTCCAGCCTGAGCCACGTGCTCTATGGCCTTCCCCCCAGCCATGCTCTGGCACTCTGGGTGTTTGCTTAAGGACAGTCTTCTTGCTACCTGAGGGGAAAATCATAAAAAAGAGACCCAGAATGAAGAGCCAAATTCATCCTTCCTGCAACTGCATCACCGCATTCATTAAATTTAAGTATACTTGCTGTAACAAAAAAAAAAAAAAAAAAAAGATGTATGACAATATTACCTTATCCAACATGTCACCGGGTGCTATATCTATCGACTGCCCAAGCAGAAGGAAATCTGAAACTCCTTGTGCTACTGCCAAAATGCAGTGGCCTCCAGATAGCAGAAGGACCAAGAAAGGAAATTCCACCTGATTTATCAGTCTAATGGTTAGGGCATGAGCCTCCATGTGATGAATGGGTATGAAAGGCTTCTTATACTTGTCCACCAATTTTAAGCTGTATTCCAATCCCACGCCAAGACACAGGGCAAGGCCTGGTTTCACTGTAGTTGCAATAGCAGCAAGGTCATTTACAGAAACTCCACTGACACTGAGAGCTTCTTTTACCACTTGCTCAATGTTTTCTCTGTGAAGTTGCTGTGCCACCGGAGGAATTATCCCACCTGTTCTGGTTAAAAAAAACAAGGAATTACAATTCGTATTTCTTATAAAAGAACCACAGGAAAAGCAAATTTAAAACACCTCTTAACCTTGACATATCTTCTGTCTTTCCTTAGCACATTCTCTTATGCTTTATTTAAAGGACGCCTATGTACGGAATAAATAATCATTTTCACTGAGAGGTAGAAAAATGTATTGCTTGCTCGAATTCAATAGCTATCCCTCTTAAACGGAGCCAAATATTGCAGCAAAACAACTTCTGCAACTGAAGATTCAAAAATCACTGACCCTTGTCAGTTCAGGTACAGTTCAGGAAACAGGCCACCAGTGCCTATTTTCATTAATTTTCTCTTACAACATTGGAGATATTTTGTGGCTTTAACTAAAAATAATTTGATGATTAATTAGGCTAAATAATTTCTTTTAGGAAAAAAAAAAGAACACTAGAGGAGCCTCCTCAAATTCACCACATTTCACACCGTCCCCACAGCTACGACTACGCGAGCAGGCGCTCTTACTTCAGGTGCACTTCCCTCTGGCAGTGCAGCGCTTCTCCCAGGACGGCGCCGCTCTCGTCCACCACGGCAGCCCCCGTGTCATCGCAGCTTGTCTCTATGCCCAGAACCAGTCTTGGTGAATGCTGCTCTGCGGCGCGAGCGGAGCTGTGTCTTGGCCATGCCGCCCGTCCGCACTTAAGTGACTTCCAAAGGCTCCTGGTAAAGCTGTTCATTGCTAAAAGGTTGTCCTGTGGTCACATCCAGAGAGGAACTGTACAGCCACCGTCTCTGCACAGTATGAGCTTTAAGGAAACCAGCAACGTGCAGTGTTCACCCTGATTGCAATTCAGTGAGGATTAATTTAATGAAGCAAGCGTCACCTCTAACTACGGAGCAGGCACCCATACTGCCTGCTCCAGTAAGAAGGTGTGAATGCTTCCAGCAGGAAGGGGAGGACTCGTTCCAAGCCCACCAGAAACCTCTTTTTGATTTTTTTTTTCAAGCATATCCTCTCTCAGGTGCAGGAAAAGTAATAAGTTCGGCAATTTACAGGTTAGAAATATCCGGTCTGTGTATTTAATTCTCTAGAACTCCTGGTTTTTAAAACTACACAGCTCCAAAGGCGGTTTTTACCAGCCTGGTTGAGCTTTTCAAGGGCAGCGGGAAAGCAGAATAGCCACGTGCCCCGCCGGGGTTGGGGGGAGCTGCCTGCGCGTTACCTCCACCGCGCAAGAAGCGCCGTCCTCGCCACTGCCCCTGCCCCTGGCTTCTGCTCTTGCTCCTGTCCCGCGGGAGGGATACGGACTGCAGCGCCTACCGGAGCCCCACGACGGCTGGCAACCTACTACCCTCCGGCGTTAGCCGAGGGGCAGCGCGGCCGCGGGGAGGAACAAGAGGCCCGTTCCTGCACCGCCATGTCAGCGCGTCCCCGCCGCGTCACGGCGCCCAAATGGCGCCGGCCCCCATTTCCCCTGCTCCTCCTCCTGCTCCTCCTCCAGCCCATAACGCCCAGGTTGCAGGGAGCTGCTACCCTTCACGCGCAAACAACTTGAAGATTTATTTAGTACTAGGACCTAGCCCATTGCTTGCCTTTTCTTCTTTTTTTTTAATCGTAAGCTAATCTGAAAATTTGCCAACATGAACACCAATAAGCACCATGAGTCATTTTGTTTGTTTGCTTTTCCTCCCAGGCTGTTACTGAATGCAAATATGAATCGGGGCCACGATTAAATGAAAGAAATTCAAAAAATCACCTTTGGAGTCTTAGAGGCATCTGTCTAATTTGTTTACACTTGGCAGCCACTTTGTAGTATTAAAATTTTCCCTTTTTCCCAAGATGCAGGAGTAGGTGCTTGGTGCTCTAGTTGTACCTTCTTCAGTCCAGTTCCAGAGCCCATCGCACACGAGATGGCTCAGCACCGCACAGTACCCTTAAAATGCTGCGTTCCTGCACGTTCCCAAGACATGCACATTATTCACATCTTTTTCTGGAAACATGCACAGTGAGGCCATGTGGTTATTATCCAGGTGAGGGAGTGTGCCTGGTGGGCCAAGCCAATAAACACAAAAGTTGGAAACCACATGAAGGTTGACTTTGAAACATGCAGCCATGTATTACCATAATTACAAGTAAAAATACAAACATCATAAACAGTTGTTTCAGCCAGTCAAAGTTGGGCAACCGTGAGGTTAGCCATGAAAAATCAACTCCTGTGATCTGTTTTTATATCTTGACCTAATTCATGCAGTCATTCAATTTTGCTTTCGACTAACGGAATTATCTGATGAATTGAAACAGCACATTCCTTTAAATTCTTCACATCCCTGTTTTGTCTTAATAAAAGGCAGTCAAAAGGATGGGTAATTATATTGCATGGGAAGTGAATACATGGACCATTGACATTCCCCTTTCTAGACAAAAATGGATGGTATTCAATTATAGTGTTTTACCAAATGAGCCCAGATATTTTCACTGCTGTTGCACATGTGAGTGAGGAATGCACTTAGTTACTGTCTGCCCTCCCTCCCTAGTTAGGATCAAGTACAAAACAGAACTCATTTTCATTTTTGTATCTCCAGACTCCGGTGGCACAAGGAGAGGTGGGTGGAGGATCTTTTCCTTCTTTCACTGGAGTAAAGGAAGCAGCAGAGAACATTAGCTACCATGGCCCTCTCTGAGACTGCCTGCACCCTTCTAAGTTCCAGTGTTTTCATTTATACATGTGCTGAGAAGGGCTCTTGGCTGAATGGCCTTTCTGTCCTTGGTCCATCTGAGTCCATCTGTTCCCAGACCCTGGGAACAATATGAGAAATGTCACAGTTGGATGCAAGTGTATTTTTTTTTGGAAAAAATAATGAGGGACAGGTTGTTCAATTGGAAGGAGGCAAGAGTGGAAGAAGGGAGAGTGGAGGAAGGGGGACCGGAGTGGAGAAGTGGAGAGGATCCAAGTATGCCAGTCTGGTGGGGTGCCAGACCATGTGGTTGTCTGCCTTCCTTTCTGCACCACAGGCTGCCCTATCTTCTCAGGAAAGCTGGGTTTCTTCTTGCTGTGTAAGCTCCGTCTGTGCTCTATGTGTGGGGAAGTACGCTGGGAGGTGACAGTGTGAGCAGCCAGAGAAGGGGCTGTGAGACATGGGGCAGCAGGGCCAGGTTCCACAGCCAGAGGAGGCTGGAGGCAGCAAGTGTACCTAAGGAACCTAAATGCTCAGTGTGATATTTGCTAGCAGCTATGGAGCTGGACTGGTTATGTCAAGTGGAGATGCACAACTGGAAAGACGCAGGTTCTGTGTTAGAGCCTGGCTGAGAGGCCTTGAGGTCCGGACATGGAAATTAGATGAAGTATGTGCTAGCCTGGTATCTTAGGAAGGCATGAGGCTGCTGTACTTGTGCAGGTAGAGGTCAGGGGGTGTTGGCATGCCCAAGGACAAAGAGGAGCACCCAGGGCAAACAGTGTGCAGAGGCTTTGGTGGGTGCCTGTGTAGGCACAACTCTGGGTCAGGCCGTTTGGACTCAAGGCAGCAGCTGGAATGTGCTCTCCACACGACAGAGGTTGCCAGGCTCAAGGAAGCAGGAGCACAATCCAAGCTGAATGCCAGGAAGGGACAGACCTCAGCAACAGGTCTCATTCCTGGCCTCCTTTGTATTGCCATCAACTTAGCCATCTTCTGGGCGCTGGAGAAAGGCCTTGTCGCCTCACAGGGCCTTTGGTGACAGCCACCTGGGGCTGATGACCTCATCCACCTGCCACTGTGCCAATAATCGGCATTGCCTCTCTGTGCTGGCAGTCACTGGCCAAGCTAGTTTGAGGGTGACAAGCAGCACTTGCAGAAGTTGGTCCTCCTCAAGCACTGGGACAATGTTCTACCCACTTCTTTGCTTGGCCCTTGCTGTGATCACAGCGTTGCTGCTTCCTGGCGGTCTGGGCCTTTGCAGGCACCCCGCTTGGGCTCAAGTAGGGTGGGATCTTCTCCCTGAGGAGCTGCAGCAATTCGGCATCAGCAGGGAGCAGCAGCGCTCCTGCCTGCCCTACCCGCTGGACCAGCTCTGGCCCTCCTGTGACCAGCTGGAGGTAACGCTGGTGCTGCTGCAGGTGCTCTCTCTGTGCACGCAAGCCCTGGGCCTGCTCGGGGGGCTTTTGGTTGCACGTTGGCTTTGGCGTAAAGCCGTCAGATGCCAGAGACAGGCGAGTGCTGGAAGGGATGCAGGTGGGATGGTAGCTTGGGAGCAGGCAAAGCCTTGGGGTGTGGGATGCTTGGCACAAGGAGGAAAAAACCCAGCTGGCCTAGAAAGCCTTGGCAGGATGTGGCATGTCTTCTGCCTCTTCCCCTGGCCATTTTCTACTTGCTGCTCCCAGGTGGCAGGGGCTGGTGTCAGCCTCAGAGGAGGGGAATGGGGACGTACAGCCCATTGGCGTTCCAGCCGTTGGGCAGAAAATATTCAGCCTGAGGGCTTCTTGGGGCAATCTGCTGGCTGCAGCAGCACTGGGAGGCTTGAGTTTCTCGATGAAAGGCCAAGCCCTGCTGGACACGTCTGCACCCCACAGGCCACTGCAGCATACGAAGGAAACACAGACTTCTGTGGGGTGAAACCAAAGACCTTTATTTAGAGTGAAACCCCACTTATATAGCTCCCCACCCTGGAGACAGTTCCTGTTCCGCCTAGCAGCATGCGAAGCCCAGCAACCCAATCATCCAGTCAAGTACATGATCACGCGTGAGGCCATCCAGTGAGCTTCCTGATCATGTGCTGGCCATGTGGCTGCAGCTCCCGCCTCTCCTGCTGAGGCCCCATCTGCCCGGGAGGCATTCTTTGCTACTGACCTTAGGCTGAGCTGCACAGCCCCTGCCCTGTTTCATCTCACCCCTGCCCTGTCATTCTCAGCAGGTAGACCAGGCATCTGCTGCTCCTGGCGCCACCGCCTGCCGCGGCGCTACGACAGCTATGGGGTCCTCTGTCGGCTGGAAGCAAACACAGCCCTCATGGTTAAGCAGCTGAGGCGCCTGTGCCACCTGCACGTGAAGGAGAGCGGGCTCCACAAACCAGCCAAGAAGAGGAAAGCAGAAGATATAGAAGAGGAGGAGAGCTTTTTCTCTGCCGCAGTGTCCAGGTGCTCCCACAGTAGGGCTCCAAGGGAGCCAGGAGAATAAAGAAACTGTTGTGAGAGCTGCTGTCTCTGTGTCTGGAGAGCCATTTGGGAGTTCTGGTTGACAACAAGCTAACCATGCGCCAGCAACATGCCCCTGTGGCCAAGAAGGCCAGTGGGATCCTGGCCTGCCTCAGGAGGAGAGTTGCCAGCAGGTCCAGGGAGGGGATCCTGCCCCTCTCCTCAGCTCTGGTGAGGCTGCACCTGGAGTATTGGGTGCACCTCTGGGCTCCCCAGCACAGGAGGGACATGGAGCTTCTAGAGAGGGTTGGGTGTAGAGTGACGAAAATGATCAAGGGACTGGAGCATCTGGAAAGATGTCTGGAAAGACAAGCGACCTGGGCCTGTTTAGCCTGGAGAAGAGAAGATTGAGAGGGGATCTAATCAACATGTACAAATACATGAGGGGAGAATGTCAAGAGGATGGGGCCAAACTCTCCTTCTTGGTGGCCAGGGACAGGACAAGGGGTCATGGGTATAAACACGAACTCAGGAAGTTCCATCTCTGTGTGAGAAAGAACTTTACTGTGAGAGGGACAGAGCCCCAGAACAGGCTGCCCAGAGAGGTTGTGTAGTCTCCTCTGGAGAGA